GGCATCCCAGCCAATAAACCGAATGTGTTACAGCCATCGTCCTGTGCCAGAGGCTGTCTGGGACAGGGTTGGGGGGCTGCGGTTTCGTGGCAGATGTGCAGGCTTGCTGTGTCTGGAGTGGCCCATAGCCAGAACACCTGGGTCATTGGCTGCCCTTCTTCCCTTCCGGTTCAGGACCCCTGAGGGTGTGATTTCACACTCAGGCACACACTGCACAGCCCTCCCCCCCCCCCGCCACACGCACACAACGGGATGGGTGGGCCATTCTGTGAAAGGCTCTTTGGTGGGGAGGGAAGAGGTATGTAAAAGAGGACAGGTGTGTGCGTGCACATCTGGGGTCTCCTGTCTCTGCGTCTAAGGACAGGGTGGGTGGGCTGCAAGGGTGTCCAGCCACGGGACCACACCGGGAGCAAGAAAGCTGGCGTCAGCCGGGGCAGACCCGCTCACTGGCCCCAGTGTCTGTCTTCCTGAAGGTCAGGCACCAAGTGCTGGTCCCCGTGGGTCTTCTCTTGTCATGGAGACAAGAGCCAGACGCTGAGCAAACATTCCGGCTCTGTCCCCCTCTCCCAAGGCGACCCAAGGTTGCGTCTTGTCTGGCTTCCTCCGTCCTGCCACGGCCCCCTCCCGCCCAGCCAGCCGGAGGCTCAGCCCCGTCTCCGCGGGGCCAGGAGGAGAGAAGCCACATTCCTGCTCCTTCCCCTCGAGAGAGCCTCTCTCTGCCTTTCCTCTGCAGGGATCTCACAAGGAAAGAAGGTCACGGAAGAACCCAGGTTCTTGTGGCTGGGCTGGCCACTTCCATAGTCCAGCGAGAACGGTGGCCTGCTCCAAGCCCCAGGGCTCCCTGGGAGCCTTTGGTGGGGCCATAGTGCTTTACCGGCGCCCACTCCTCCCCATAGCCAGGCAGGTGTGCCAGGGGTTGTCGGGACTCTGTGGGGACCCACCCCCAGGAAGCGGTGCGTCACGGTGCAGGCCCGATGGCCCTTTAAGCAGGAAGCAGGAGTGGGAAGCAGACACAGAGCTAGTATCTGATTTGCATGCAGAACCCCCTCCCCTGGTTGGGCTGCAGCCCTGTCTTCCAGTCCTGACCGAGGCGAGGCCTTGAACCCTGCGAGGCAGTGGGTGATGACTGGAGGGGTCACTGCTTATTGCTCCAGTGAGGCCATAGGCTGTGATGCCCCGGCCATCCCTCCATGCCCCCAGCTCCTCTGACTGGGCTGCTCAGGACAGCCTGGAGGGCCCTGAGCAGAACGGCGAGGCCCCCAAACTGTCGGAACCGCCTGGGCATCTCACCCAGGCACTTCGCCAACCAACTTGGCGCCAGCTCCTCCACGGCGCATTTGTAGTCCGTGGTCACAGCTCGCCCCAGCCCTCGCTTGGAGGGCCACGCTCCCAGTTCACAAGTCACAAGTCCAGAAGGAACCAGGACCATGACCCTGCCTAGACTGGGGCTTCCGCCCACAGAGAGTAGCTGGTTCTCGCCTCGAACAGGGCCTCTGTGAATAAATACCACAGCCGGAGGCGGCTCAGGACTGTCCCATGCAGCTGCCCTGGGCACCTGTCCCAACACCACCACCACCACCACCATGGATTCGGACCCCTGTACCGAGTCGGGGACCCAGGCTGGCAGGCTCCCCCAGTCTTCCCTGGGCCCATCAGCAGAGGTGCCGGAGGCTACTTAGGAGCTGGCTGCAGGCCACTGATCCATATTCCAGAACTTTTAATGTGTTCTCAGGGCCCAGCCCACCCTCACCTCCTGGCTGCTTCAGGTCCCACAGTAGAACAGCCCCAGTGCAGCTGCCCGTCGGCTCAGGAGGGTCTGCGTCAGAGGGAGGCGCCCTTGCGCCCTCGCTCCTCCACTGTCTCCGAGCCCCAGAGGCCCCCCCGGCTTCCCCGGGTCCTGAGTGCACAGCCAGCAGTGGAAGAGCTAGGACGGGCCTGCCCCAGGCTGTGCCCCACTCCTGGTAAGCGGGTTCAGATAACCGCTCCTCCTGGAGCTTCTGCTCCCTCCCTCTGGGAGCACCTCTGTAGCCCAGGGAGGATGGAATGACAGCACCAGCCTGGCAGCCAGAGGACCTGGCTTTGCCATGCTTGGCCCTGTGACGCTGGCCAGCTGCCCCTCCCCGGGCCTCTGCTCCCTGAGCCTGGTGTCTTTGCCCAGCAGCCCTTCCTGCCACAGGCAAGGAGAAACGCCAGCATCCCGTCTCCAGCGGCCAGAGGGCTGGCCGGGCTACTGAAGCCGCTGGGATCCTCAGCAGCTGTGGTGGCTTGCAGGGCAGCTGTTGGCTCAGCTGTAGAAGAAGGGAAGCTGATGCCCTGCCCCGCCCCTCGCTCCTTTTCTTTCTGATTCCCTTCCCTTCCCCCTAACAAGTATGAATGCAAACACAAGCGCTACCATTTGGTGGCATGTGCCCCAGGGTGAGTCATTTCACCACGCTGAACCTCAGTTTATCTAGACACATAGGGCAATGACAGCTCACAGGGTTCTGACGAAGGACGAGATACCCTTCGAAGAGATCTGTCCCACTGCCGGCGAACAGGAGGCTCTCCGAGAACGGGCCTCCTTTTCCTTTCCTCTGCCGGACCATTTCCCAGCTCCTGGACTGCTCCTTCCTATGGCAAAAAGGCAACTTCTGGGCACACAAGTTTGCAGTCAGGCGTCAGGAGCTCAGCAGGGGACTACTGCCAGAGAGGACAATGCCTAACCCACAGCAGGGAGGGGCTTGCAGAGCAGGGGACGGATTTCTGGCTGGCTGGTAGCCTTTCTGGGCACCTCCCAAGTCACCACCCTGTGCTTGACTGTCCCTACACACAGGGCTGCCTCTAGAATCTGTGAAAAGATTTGCTGCTCCAGTTTGCAAAGATAGTAGTGCCTGACTCGGGGAGCAGGGCAGAGGGTGGCCAGATGCCTTCCCCAGAGAGCGGCGAGGCCCCTCACCCAGCCTCCCGAGGGCCGCCTGCCTCTCCTGCTCCAGCCCCCTCCCAGCCCACACCTTCCCCCTCCCCCGTCCCAGGAACATCTGGTTCTAATCTCCTCCAGATGCTGTGGCCAAGCTGTTTTATGGCCAATCACCTCAGCTCAGCTTCCTGAAGGCCTCCCTCCATTTTGGGGAAAGGTCCCCTTCTTGTCCCTTTCCTTGGGACCCCAGCCACCTCTCTTGCCAGCATGGAGAAGAGATACACACTGAAGCCAGATGAAACTGTGAAGGTTCTCGGACCGGGCCCCTCTCCTCCCGCTGTGGGGTGGGGGCTGCCATCCACCCAGGATTCAAAGAAAGTTTCCAGCCCAGGAGGAGGGGAATGGGCAAGGAAGTGGGCGCCTGGGCCGGGGGGATGGTGGTGGGGAGAGAGAGAGAGCTGGGACATCAGTGCATGTGGCTACGTGTGTGCTGGCTGTGTCTGCGTGTCTGTGCCTGCACAGCAGAGCACCCACCTGTAACTCAAGGGTGCCCCTTGGTGGCCGCTGCTGCATTTTCCTTCCCTACCCGCTCCGGGGCAGGGCTAACTCGGGGGCCCGCTCTCTACAGTGGCCGCGGCAGCCCGAGGTTTTCCCTCGCCCTTCAGCTCTGTGGCTACTGAGGCTGTCCGCTAAATCTAGCCCAAGGAGGCTGTGTGAGAATGCACACGTGCACATGTGTGTGTGTTCCCACCCAGACCTCTCTCCTTCCACCAGAGGGGCAACGGGCCAGGCGGAACCCCAGGGCAGACGCCACCCGATGCCCGGACCTGGCTTGGTCTGCTGGGCGCCCCAGCAGCCCCGCACAGGCGTGTGCCAGAGAGCGGCCATCTGCGGCGAGGAAGGGGGAGCAGGCTCTCTGGGGGAGACCCGCACGCGAGCCCTCCAGCCCCGTCCGCCCTGCCTCAGCTGGCTGCCTCCATCTCCCGTGAGGGAGGCCCTGGGGCCAACCTCTCCTCCTGAGAAACCCAGAAGGGTCCACAAGGGAAGACTGAAGCCTCCCCTCTGGAGGAGTCTGGAAAGCCCTCAGCGGGTGGCGGGAGGCAGGGGTCCAGCTCAGAGGTGAAAGGCTAGACCCTGGTGGTCACTCCCTGTCCTGGGGATTCTGGACTCCCACTGCTGCCCAGCCCCTTTAAATAAGCCTCTTGGGCAATCGCGACTCCACGGCGCCCCCTGGTGTTTTTCAGGGAGGCGCCTTGGCCAGCTGGAGGAGACCCTCGAGAGGGTCACTGTGTCTGAGACGGGCCTTGCATGTCTCACTGTGTCGGGTGGGCCTGGCACACACTAGGGGACACAGGGCAGTGAAATGGGAAGACGCCAGCTCCTGACTCAGATCCTGGCCACGGTCGCCTGCTGACTGTAAGCCATGGGCAAGCCTTTCCATTGCTTTGTGCCTCCGTTTCTCCACCTGTTAAACGTGACTGCAGTGCCGAGCCGATGTGAAGACTGAAGGAGCTGACGTGTGAAAGCACCTGGTGTGATGCCTGGCGCGTAGGAGGCCCCCCGGAAGTGGTCTTTGCCCTTCACTCTCCTCCCTTACCCTGGGAGGCTGCGCCCCAGCTCCCGGGGACACATGCTCATTGGTCCTGAGCCAGGCAGTGTCAGGGAGGTGACTTGAGCTTTTCTGGAGCCTCTCCACTCCAGCAGAGGATCCTTTTAATAAGTCCATAATAATAGACACAGAGGTGACTCAGACCTGCCAGGGGAGCCTTGCTGGGGAGGGGACAGGGCCACCTGGGTCTGACGCTGCAGTGGGAAGGGCTCCAGATGAGGGGCCTAGGGACCTTGGTTATGCCTCCAGGTTGCTACAGACTCTCTCCTCAGAGCCCCCAGTTTCCCTGCAAAGTGCAGGGTAGCTCCAAATGGCCCCCAAAATCCCTTCTGAGCTGGAGATGTGGCTCCGCGTCCCGAGCCCTGCACCTCGCAGCAAGATTTGGACACAATTCCTGGCGGCCCATCCTGGACGCATCCCCACGTGAGCCCCTGCGATGGTCTGATTTGCCTGCGCGCAGTCCCAGAGCCCAAGGAGAGGCGAGACTCTCAGGCCGTGGTGGTTTATTGGTACACATCGCAAGCACAGCGCAGGCAGGCGCGCCCCAGCCGGGGGCAGACACGGGGCCAGACACGGGGCAGGGGAGGGCAGCGACCCATCCCCTCCGCAATGCTGCCAGCAGAGGGGGGAGGGCCTGAGGGCCACGTCCTCTCTTTCTCCAGGCCTCTCCCAGGGCCCCCAGACCTGTTCCGTGCCACAGAGACAGCAGATCACACCACTCCCTGCGGCTACAGAAGAGGCGACCAGCTGTCCCGCCTGCCCCTTACCGAGATATGGCCTTGTTGGCCTGCCAGCCCCTTCTGTCCCTCGTCACAGAAATCTGGCTGTCACTGCAGAGGCTGTTCTCCTCCGCCTGACATCACCGCCCTCATCCCCAGACAGACAGTCGCCTCCGGCCATGCCTCGCTTTGTCACCCCACCTGGTCCGCTCGCCTTGGGAGGCCTGCCCTGTCCACCCTGGTGACCCGTACAAAAGTAGGAAATAGGTAAAAACACTGTTAGGCCCAGCAAAGGCTTCAATGGGAGCTCCCCGGGGAAGAGACGCTCCGTCCACAGGCTCGAGGGGGAGTGCAGATGGCGCCGGCGGGCGGGGGCGACAGGTGGGGTGGCAGGAGGGCCGCATTCCGGGTCACTCGCAGGCACCGTGCAGTCACAGCCCGGCGGCAGGGGGGGCGAGCACACTGCACGGCCAGGGGGTGCCCGGGCTCGGCGGGAAAGCCCTCGGACCTGGTTCCACGCCAGGTCCCCTCGGGCGGGAGGCAGCCCACTCCCGGCTGAGAAAGGGGTCCCTCTGGGTCTCAGGGGTCTCTTCCCCCTCCTCGACCCCAGTGGCTGCCATGCCAGGCCTCAGTGCTCTGAGCAGCGGAGAAGGTCCTCTGGGGTCTACATCATCTTCAGAGCAAGGGAAAACTCGAACAGCCTGGATGCTCCGAAGCCAGGAGGAAAGAGGGCCCCTTTCTAGAGCGCAGGTGAGAAGGGGGACAGCTCTCCTAAGCAGAAGGAGGCGCCGGGGGGACAGGGAGTCACAGCAGTGCAGGAGGCTATTTATAGCAGGGAAGGGCCAGGTCTGGGGTGGGAAGCCCCCAGGCCCAGCTGGGCAGGGAGGGGCATCCTGTGGCGGTCCTGAGTGGGGCACATGAGCTGAGGAAGAGCACCCCACAGCTCTCTGAGTCCCCTACGGACGCAGGCAGCCTGCGCACGGGCTGCAGTCTGGAGAGGCTTCCCCGGGAGAGCCCAGAGGCCACAGCCCCTGGGAGATGGGGGCCTGGATGAAGCAGAAATAGCCAGACTGGGGACCCAGAGGAAAGGGGAGTCTCCAGAAGTCCAACCCCCCACCAACCCGCTGAAGCTAAGAGCCTCTCCCAGTCTACCAGGCGTGGGTGGGCCATGCCTGCCAAGGGGACCACCCTCTGTTGCCTCTAGTGCCAAGGGGTGGGGGAGGGGGGAACTGGTGGCATGGAGGGGGCAGGGGGGCAGAGGAGAGAAAGCCAGCTCCCTGAACTTATGTCGCCCGTCACCACCCTGCTGGTCACTTCTCCCCAGCCCCCCCGGCTCCCCGGAGTCCCTAGCGGCCCACGCTGATGTTGCAGGTCTTGCAGCTGGGGTCTTTCTTGGCGTCGGCAGTGGACAAACTCATGAGCTGGTGGCCGCTGATCTCCCCCAGGGTGCCCAGGGACAGGTCGACGGGCTCGGTGTAGATGATTTCCAGGATGAGGTCCTGCGCGTGGCGGAAGACCAGCTCCCCATCCTCCACGCTGCAGGTCAGGAACTTGTTGCAGGCAATGTCCAGAAGGGGCAAGCGGTCTCGGCAGAAGCGGTCCCCCAGCGAGCCCTTGGGGGCCAGCACCAGGATGGCGTAGTGGTAGGCTGTGTACATACAGTAGAAGTCCGCAAAGTAGAGGTTGGTGCTGGGGTTGAAAAGGCGCTGGGCGGGGATCTGGAAGCGCCAGCGGCCGTAGGGGGAGTCCTGCGGGGGCTGGCCTGTGTTGAACTCCGTGTTGCAGCTGAAGAAGACTCCGTGGAGCATGCCGCTGGTCGGGGAGCCGTGGCTGCCGCTGTTGTCCTTCAGGTAGGGCTGCAGCATGTTCCCGCAGTGGGTCCTGCCCACCCCGGGGACAATGCCAGAGGGAAGAGAAAATGCCGCCGGTTAGCTGGGCTGAGGCTTGGCTGCTGCGTCTGGTGAGGAGGGAGCCAGCCCAGCTCCCAGCTCTCCCACCAGCCGCCGCCTCCGCCCGTCACAAATAGTACATTCCAGAATGCAAGAGCAGGGAGGGCCCTGGAGATAGGCTGATCCGGCCCACTCTTTTGCCGGGGAGAGGTCTGAGCCTGCTGTTCCCCAGCACAAAACCCTGGGGGAGCTTGAGTGACAAGCAAGGCGTCGCAATCTGGTCTTTCTGGCTCCACCTCCTACCACCCCCACGCCCACGGGTGACTCCCTCCGGCCTCGTGGGAGCCCCGCCCCAGCTCTCTCCTGCCTCTGCACCCGCGGCACCTGCATCCCCGCCTTCCTCCACCTGGCCTGGCAAACTCTCTCCCTCCTTCAAGGCCCGGCAGAGGTGTCCTTTCCCCTCCAAAGCCTTGCAGGGACATCAGGCAGTGGCACACAACAGCATTTTGACTGCCCACTACGTACGTGCGGGACACTGAAGTCTACTCGACGGTCACACACACCCGCTGCATTCCATCTGCCAGGACGGTCCTCCAATAGACTCTGAGGTTTTCAAGGGGGGACCTGCCTTTCCCCATCCTTCTCCCCTGGCACACATGGGTGCTCTCTGTGTCTTTCTTGCTTCCTGACAGAGGAACCGGACTGGGCCAGTGCCCTCACCACTCAGCTCACTGCCTCTCCTCTTCAGTGCTACCACCAAAGACCTCCAGGCCCCCGCTGCCCTGGGGTAGGGTCAACGTGACGCAATGACAAAGACAGTGCTGGCGGTGGCTTGCCCTGGCCCAGCCTTAGAAGGCCGTGCGCTTGGAGCAGCGTCAGCTGCCCTGGGGGGGGTGGGCAGCCCCTGACCCAGCCTCCCTCTTGCCTGGCCCTGGCTGTCCCAAGTGACTAGTGACTTGATGGTCCTCTGGGTCTCAGGCTCCCCATGTGTCGGCTGAGGGTGTTGCATGACGCCAGTAACTGGATCAAGAACGTTTGGGTGGGGAACCCCTCTTTCTTCCTAAAGGGAATTACAAAGGTGGGCCGTAGGCAATAAAACTGAAGCTGCTCAGGTTGAATGATAGGTGAGGTCCACCAAGCTCCATCCTCCGAGTTCTTCAACGACCCCTCGGCACCCCGCTAAGGGCTGCCTGAGGCTCACCCTGGAGCCCCCGGGCTCCCCGCAGCAGATGGTGTGAAGACCACACCCTCCTTGCTCAGAATCTGCTCACACTCTGCACCCTGCTCCCGCTCGCCCCTTGGGACCCAGGCCCTGAGCTGGACGGAGGGCTGGCCTGCCACTTTGGAACCCGTGACAGGAACTCCACCGGGGAGGATCCCAGCGGGACCTCACCCGCCCAGGAACTCCAGGCAGCCCCACCCGGAGAGCCTGTCCTCCCCGGGAGCGCGATCCCGCAGCCTGTGACGGGAGGCTGGGGCGACGTCGAACAGCCTGGGCGGCCGCGGAGGCAGAGCCGGGGGAGGCAGGCGGGACCTGGCGGGCGTGCAGGCCTGGCGCACCTGGCGTGCTGGAAGTACTCCTTGTGGTGGTTGCGGTAGAAGACGGAGAAGCGCAGCATGCGACCCGCGATCTGCTCGGCCTTCTCCTGCAGCTGCGCCAGGTGCTCCTTGGCATAATCTGCAAGAGAGCAGGCGGGTGAGCCAAGGGCTAGGCAGGGGTCGCAGCCACTCCCCTCCCTCGCCCACCTCTGTGCTCGGAGCTGCAGGGGACACCACACGTCCACAGCAGCTCGGACCACATGGGAACGGGCCAGCTGGACGCTGTCCGTCCTCATCACCTCTGCATCCCCCGTGCCGGAGGCTAGGGATTCTCTGCCTCAGACAAGGGCAGGGCTGATTGTGATTATACAATCACGCCAGGTCCCTGGGGCTGTAACCCCAGGCTGTCCTCGTCCTCGTCCTCGTGTGTGAGGAGGACCAGCAGGCAAGAGAAGGACTGAGAGGGGGAGATGTTGAGGTCCTTCAGGGAGAGCCTTCACACCCACCAGGCTAGAGGCTGCCCACACCACCCTCGGGGACGCCAGCTGTCATCACAGGCGGGGGCTCAGTCCTCTAACTGAGGCGAGGGTTTGGGCCGACCAGGTCTGGGGCGATGGCTGCACTTCAGCATCCCAGGAAAAGCCGAGAAGCCTGGAAACAGGGTAGTGAAATTGGACCCTCCCCAGGGCTGGGGCCAGAGGCCCAGGCAGGGCTGCTGCCGGCAGAGACAGCGCCTTTGTGCAAATCAGAAAGAGATGCCCTTTCCTCCCTGCTGATGCGACCCTGGCCAGGATGCTGGGTTAGGCAAGAGGAATGTGGCCTGGAATGCAGTCACCCCCAGCTCCCCTGCTGGAAGTAACGTCCCACTGCATGTGCAGTTCTGGGGTGAACTCAGAGGCTTTCCTCACAGGGAGAGGGAGCACCTTCAGAGGGCGGGGTGTGCGGCTGAGCGGGGAACATGAGCCACTCAGAAGAGAACGGCAGGTCAAGGGCGCGGCCAAGGGCACAGACCTCGGCAGAGGGTGGAGCCAGCAGTCTCGGAGGCCCCCGGGCTAAGAATGTACCCTGCCCCTTCCTTGTGACAGAGGAAGATCTGGGGCAGTTCTCACCATGGACACTAAGAAAAGGGACTGTCGCGGGGACAGAACCTGGATCATTGGCGACAAAGTACACGTGAGCCTGGTGCTCCATGGGCTCGCGCTGGAATTTCTAAGCCAAGAGCGTTGGCGGGACCACTGAGTAAGGATCGTTTTCCCAGGCTACATGGAGGCCCAAGACAGGCAAAATGGGATTGCTCCACGAGCCGTCCATCCACCAACGATCAGTAAACAACATGCAATCCAGCCACATGATGTGCTATGTTATTCCTTCTTAAGAAGGAAGGAAACCCTGACACAAACTACAACATGGATGAACCTCAAGGACATGATGCTAAGTGAGTAAGCCAGTCACAGAGGGACAAATAGTGCGTGATTTCCCTCCCATAAGGTACCAGGAGTGGGAATTCACAGAGCGGGAAATGGAGTGGTGGTTGCCTGGGGGGCTGCAGTGAGGGGCGGAGGAGCTGTTGTTTAATGCCTATGGGGTCTCAGTTTGGGAAGATGAAAAGCTACATACAAACCAACGTGGATGCACTTAATGCCACTGGACCGCACACTTAAAAATGGTGACGATGGTAACTTTTGTGTTCTGTGCACTTTACCCCAATTCAAAAGCATGGTTGCCCCAAGCCAGAAAGGTGACTCCATCCCGATACGGAAGCGATGCCGTCACCAGTCTGCAGGCTTTGGCGGGGCAGGGGTGGGTCTCATGGACCCGTGTCTCCCTGGTGGCCTCAGCCTGGCGCTGGCATGTGGCAGCGGTCACGGTGTCTGCCGTGTCGGGATGAAGCCCCCTCCTGACCATGACAAAACCACATGCACGAGAGCGGCGGGGGCGGGGCCTCACCCCCAGTGCAGAACTCGACCGTCTCGCTCCAGCCGGACACCAGGTACTCCCCGTCGCTCTGCTTCACGGCGGTCTGCACCGCCACGCTGTACTCCGTGCGGGGGCTCAGGAACCAGTGGCCTCTCACCGTCATGGGCAGGGGCACGGCCTTGGCCACAAGCTTGGTGGGGACATCCTGAGACATGGGGTGCAGACCAAGAGCCAAGAGTCAGCCACACTGGGGGGTCACACCAATCTCAGCCCTCCCGCAGGCCCCTGCTGCCCAGGTGGCCCCGGGCCTCCCGAGCGGGCCAGGGCCTCAGCGATGCAAGGCGTGGCGTCCCGGCCGCCATTTTCCCCCAGAAGCAAGCAGAGGCCCTTGGCAAGGCTGCCGGGCGCCCCCAGCCTGCGCCCCGCCCAGCTCTCTGACGCCCGCTCTCTTGGGAACTGAGGAGAAAGGCCAGGGGGGTGGAGGCCCGCCAAACTGAGGGCAGCGAGACCCCAGTTTTCGAGGGAGACATCGAGAGCTCTGCGCACTGCAGTGCCGTCTCCACGGCAACGGCCAATGCTGAGAAGCCAGGGAGGAAGGGAAAATATGCCTTATTCTTTTGGGAGGAGGTTAAGGGGGTGGTGTTGAACATTCACATCACCGTGGCAACTGGCCTGCCAAAAGACACCCAGATCAGGGGAGCTGGATCCAAAGAGAGAGAGGGCGAGTAACCCACATGGTGCCGTCGTCGTGGGAACCGGCTTCTTCCCACCTCACTCTCCCCCTGCCTTTCTGCCAGCTTGGAAGATGGGAGCCTTCCCCCCGCCCGCCCCCACACCAGCTTTAGCCGAGGGAAAGGACACTCCAGCCAGCCAGGGACTCTCTCGCATTCATTTTCTCAACCTAGCAAACAGGCCAGAGGGCCAGGGGGCCGGGGGAGGGTGAGGCCCGGGGGCCTGGAGGACCCAGCAAAGCGCTGCACCCTGCCCATGGCCCACGTCACCCACCCGGTCAACACGGCAGCCCTAGGTGTGCTGTCACGGCCCCGCCCTGGGTTTTCCCGCCCCTCTGACGCCCTCGTCCCGATAACGGTATTCGCTGTGTGCCGGGCCCCGAGCCAAACACCACACAAACGTTACCCCACAGAAGCCTCTGACAAGCCTACAGGGGCTGGATTCCCTTTTTGCAAGCGAAGGAACTCAGGCTCAGAGAGGCTGAGTAACTCCACCCAGATCGCACAGTAAGAGGATCCTGGGTTGGAGCCAGGCCTCTCCGACACCCCGCTGTCACCTCCTGGCGCACGTTCGCCGGCCGCCTTCAGGAGCAGTGGCGGGGAAGACTGCTCGGGGCTCCCTCACTCACCCGGTGCTTGAACTTGTTGGAGTTCTTATTCTCCTTCTTGTTGAGGTCGATGAAGTAATGAGTGACCCTCTCCAGGTCACTGTTCTCCATGGCCCAGGAGATGCGGAAGGAGTCGCAGGTGATGTTGTTCACCTCGATGCTGTGGGGCGTGGACAGCAGCTCCATGGTCCCCTTCGGTTTGGCTCCTGTGGGGACGAAGAGGAGAGGGAGAATCAGCACCTCCCTCCCCATCATGGAGTCTTCTGGAGCGTCTTGCTCCCAACATCCCTTGCCAGATGGAACCTTGAGGAGCCATTGACTGTACCTGCCTCATCAAAACCGGTGGAAAGATTGCACAGGGAAGACTGGAGGCGTGGGAACGAAGGTGGGATGGGGCACCCCTCCCCCGGGGACGCTTGGCTTTCCTGGGAGGGGTCTACAGAACAGACGGCACCTGACAGGTGGCAGAGGCAGTGGGAAAGCTGCAAACGCCAGGCGGGACAGATTTGCAGCAGATGGAGCCAAGGAGGGGGCCCTCAGCCAGTAGGCGTGGAAAGAGAAAGGAGTGGGGGCAGAGAGAACCGTGTGGGACGCAGGAGAGCCAGGAAGCACCCGCCGAGGAGACCGGTGGGAGGGAGCAGCAGGAGGGGGCGCCAGCAGCCAAGAGGCCAGGGCCCGGGGCGCTGGGGTCAGGCCTCCCTTCTCGCTGGGGCGGCTCAGCAGGGCTGGGGGTGCAAGCGCCACAGAGCCGCATGAGGGTCCATGGGGTGGAGGGGCAGCTCATGCCCCAGACCTTCTCCCACCTTTGACTTCTCCACTATCTTTCTTTCCCTTTCAGCACATCCTTTGCCACTTGACTCTTTTAAATAGTTGGCTTTACCCTTGACAGCTATTACAGGCTGACTATGTGCCGATCGTTTCACAAACATCATCTCATGTGAGCTCACAATAGGTGGGCAGTATTATTACCCCCATTTTACAGATGAGGTAGCTGAGGTTGCGGCTACTATGATGCCAAAGGTCACACGGCTGGAAAATGATTTGAACTCTGGTCGGTCTGACTCCGGAGCACTCAAGCCTTTCATCCTTAAGCTGTGTTCCATTGTGTGTGTGTGTGTGTGTGTGTCACGTGAGTCACGTGTGTGGCATGTGTGAATGCATAGGTGCACATGGTTTTGCCACTATTTATTTTTCTTTCTCAGTCCCTTTCTTTCAAGCAGTGGCCTTTTCGCCCACCCGCCCACTCCTTCTCCGGCCGCTCTCCCAGGTGTGAGCACCGCCGTCGCCCTCACCTGTGCTCAGCCGGGAAGTGGTGACTCGGGCTCTGACTTTGGCTGAGCTCACTGGAGCTCAGGGACCAGGCGGTACAGGGTTGGGTGGCAGGGGAGGAAGGGACCATCTCTGGGGCAAGAGTGTGAGTGGAGGCTGGACTTCCTCCCAGGGTGTCTGCTTAGTACCCCGTCGAGCTCAGGCCCCGGCCCTTCTCAAGCCCCGTCCTGGCCCACCTCACATTTCTGGAATGTCAGCTCCTTTTCCCTCCTTCCCTCTTCTTCTCCCCGCCCAGACACTAAGGGTGAGGGTACCCTGTGCCTTCGAAAGCAGGTACTTCTATTTATAGCTTGCAGAAGCTCCAACCCACACTTTCCTGTCAATTAAGGCTGCTCTGGAGCCCAGCACCTCTAAGTTAGCCTGCGGGCTGCCTGGGTGGCAGGCACAGGGCAAGGGATACGGGCGATGGCCCTCACCTGTCCTGGAGTGTTCCCTGAGTCCTTGTTACATCTTAGCTGTCCGCCCTGAAGCACATGGCTGCCTGTTGTGAGGTTCAGCCAAATGCCAGCGGCTTCGTGAATCGTGTGGTGAATAAGCATGAGGGTGCTACCGGGTCCACCACAAAATGAAGCAGAATGGGACAGGGTGTCTAGAAGCAACTCTACCACACACCAGTTTGTAATTCATGGGGACAGGGGTAATGCAGTGGGGAGCTGCCACCCCCCGAGTTCCCAGCGAGGAGCGCCCCAGGGAGACACCTCTATGCCCCACAGGCACACGCACTCACACCTGCACCCCCCACATGGACACACTCCCGCCCCCACAGGCCTCCCCCAGCTGGGGATGCAGCCCACGCCCACCCCGAGGGCGGGGGCGCCCACTCCCGCCCCGCGCTCCGTGGTCTCCCAGAAGCAGGGCAGCGGTGCTTCCTGGAGAGCTGTCCTGGAGCTGGGGCACCCTCTCCCCTCCGTGGTTCTGGGAGAGCTGAGACCACTCCCCACGCAAGACTGGGAGAGTGGCTGTGAGCGCACTGGGAGGGCAGTAAAGGCGGGGGGACCAGGGAAGCAGGAACCCCAGTGCTCCAAGCCCCGATGACCGAGGAAGGGCAGGGTGTGAGAGGCAGGTTGAGACAGCACCTGAGAAACACCCACACTCCTGAGCGAATCCACCCTGAGACAAGCATTCACACACCCACACGCAGGCAGGCGCACGCATGCGAACGCACACACACATGCACACACCAAGTACGGCCACCCACAGGCTGCACCGCCTCCTCAGGCATTCCCGCTCCCACACACTGCCCTGCGCACTGAGGGACCCTCCGCCGCCCTCCACATTTTAAGGTTGTCCCGCAGTTTTCCCTCCACTGGCTGCCACCTCCACACAAACCCACACGTGTTTATGTCCACAGGCTCACACACACACGCATGCATGCGCATCTTCTCACAAAGCCGTAGTTTGGTGGAAAAGAAAGCCACAGGCACCAACATGCATGCGTGCCACCTCCACGCAAGGCGCACAGCCCATGCGCCTGCTTGCACACCCGTGGATATTCGCATGCACACCAACCTCTGTCCATATTCTGATACTCGCTCTCAAGTCTTCTCTTGGCTCAAAGACACAGCCTTTGAAACTGTGTTTGTCTCCGGCCACACTCTGCCAGCCCCGAGCCTTCACATGCCAACAGGTTTGCCTGCCGACGGAGCTCTGCCCACACGCTCCACCTACCCACCCCCTTCTGCTCCGAGTCGCACCTGCCACACAGCACCCCTCCACCAACATGCCCTCCCACACGCATGACAAAGGACATGTCTGCCCCATAAATACACTGCTTCACCCTGTCCCCACCAACATGCACCCACAGGCGACTCAGATAAGTGCCCCGACACATGGGCTTCCCATGTACAAGAAACATACATTCCCAGGCATGCCACACAGCAGTCAAAACCCACACATGAACATGAGTACATGCAGACAGAACTATCTACGCAAGCAAGCCTCCAGTCTTCTCACAAGCATGCATACGCGGTGTACACACTGATAGGACACCCTTTGCCCGTGCCCATCCAGAAAAGCCACCGCACGCCAGAGGAAAAGCTGCCCCCCACTCCGCTGTCCCCGTTGGCGTTGCTGACTGCAGCAGAATCGTCACGGGGTGACCGACTGTGGTGCCCCGGGGGACCGGATCCAGCTGTTACCCCTTGGCCAAGGTCCCAGGGGGAAAGAGGACAAGGTCGTGGGCCCTGGCAATCCAGGCGGGCACTGCAGGCAGTGGCAGGACCCCGGTGCCCCCAGCTCCCAGCCCTTGGCCAGCGGAGTCCCTCTCAGGGTTGACAGCAGGCGCTCTGGGGAGGAAGGGCACTCACCTGGCCCCACGGGGCTCTGCAGAGGAAGACCTGGAGGGGAGGGAAGGGAGAGAGCTGTGTGAGGATGGGCTCCCCAGGCCGCCTGGGTCACAGGCAGCAGCGCTCGCTGGCTCCTCCTGCTCCTTTCGCGGCTGCCGCGGAGGCTTCTTCCATGCCCCGCAGGCAGCCCCTGCCTGCTCCGCAGCGCGCTGCCGCTCCTGGAGAGGCGACGTTCCCAGCCGAGCGCAAGGAGAGGCAAGAGCGGAATCAGAGCCGTGTGGAGGAGAGAGAGGCAGAGAAGGCGAGAAGGAACTGGAGAGCCAGACCCAATCTGGCTCCACCAATGGGATCAGTGGCTGCCCAGCGTCAGGTGACAATAAGCAAGCTTGGTCCCTGTTCGCTTGGGCTGGTGGGAGGGGGAAAGGGCAGAAGGTCTCCCAGGGAGCTACGCAGATGTCTTCCAAGACAGTGGTGGTGGCTGCCTCTTTTCCCAGTTTTTCCAGAATAGGGGCTGTCAGCAGAAGTCCCTCCAACACACGTCTACTTGGAAATCTCTCCATTGAAAGCAGCCCCCAAACTTTAGGGTGCTGGGAGAGGGGTGGGGCTTAGCCCAAGGGCTTAGGAGCCTGAAGCGAAGATTCTGATTGGGGGCAGCGGGCAGCTGTGAGCGGGCAGGGTCCAGACCCCATAGGGGAGCCCGTACTTGTGTGTGTGGGGTGGGTGGGGGGTGCTGTCTGTCTTAGTCTCTGTTCTTACCTCCAGGTGCTCCCTTTTCTTACCAACTCTATCAAGAGATAGTATATGGAAGCCCCAGGAACACTGGTGGTCTAGGGCAGATCCTCCGGCTGCTTAGGTGTTGGGGGGGGCGGGGGAGGGACAAAAGAAAGAGAGAGAAGTTGGGGGGCTGTGAAGGGTGTGCAGAGGCATGAAAGCGGGGGCGGAAAGCACACACCAAGCTTGGAGTGTTTGCATCCTAGCCGACCATCTGGGCTCGGAGGAGCCAAGCCCTGAACACATGGGCCAGGCAGAGAGCGTGCTGTTTGCTGTCTTAGCTGCAGGAGGCTGTTCTACCACCAGAACGTGAGGACCCTGTGGATGGCGCCGTGAAGAACACTCAAGGAAATCGGAACCAAGCGGCCAACAGGGAGCACATGCAGCGCGGAGAAGCATGGGCTTTGCGGACAGATATGGTTAAAATTCTTGCTCTATTACTCCCTAGCTTGGTGGCCTTGGACAGGGCACTCAACCTCTCAGAGCTTCAGTCTCTTCGTCTGTCAAATGGAATAATAACACAGGTTTATGGTCATCACTGCCTGAGATAAACATGTGGGTCACTTGGCTCTGGGCCTGGTACACAAGGGGTGCCTGGCCACCTGTCGGAGATGTTCTTAGTGCCATCACATGGGCAGTGTCTGTCTGCAAGGAGCCCACAGTCTCCTAGGGGAGAAAAGACGAACATTAAGAGACACGATTAGGAAACAAGAAGTAGACAACTAAATTGCAGGGTATAGACAAGAATTCTGAGATGGAGGAGTCAGGACCAGCTCCAGGGCACAGGCGGGGCCGAGCCAAGTAGAGACTGTGGAGGAAGGAGGATGGTGGGTGGGGAGGGCTTGGTGTCGGGACTGCAGTCAGGACACAATAGACTATGCAGGCGGACCCTGGTGAGGACCTCAGAGAGCCACAGGGGGCATGAGCTGAGCATAAGGGACACCTGCCGAGAGGGACTTGGGGGCTGCAGACAGCCGCAGCCGGGTTGGAGGTGGTAACAGTGGACAGAGAGTGAACAGTTCACCGAAAGCAGAGATAAGCCGAAGCCAATCCCACCCTAAATGGGTGTGGAGAACCTGAGCAGGTTCGGCCAGATCCCGAACCACAGAATGCAGTGCGGTGCGTCACTGGGAGGCAGGTCGCGCATTCCCTCAGCCAAGCCTGCACGGAGATGCTGAAACCCCGCAGAGGTGCACAGCGTAATTCCACAGCGTAATTCCACAGCGACGGCCTGCACCAGGCAGCTGGGCCAAACTCTGTCCCTACGATCACCTGAGGGGTGCTGTGAGGGAAAGGTCAAGTTCTCCGCACCTCAGTTTCCCCCCTGGGAAGGGCAGGCTAGTCCCAGCACGCCTCTGCCTCCACGCCTCTGCCTCCTACCTTGGCAGGATGGCATGAGGAGAGCGCATGAGATCATGTGTCCTGAGCAGCGAACAATAGCCCTCTGAAGGCGCTTGTGTAGAGCTGCGTGCGGCGTCAGGAGAAGGCACAGCCCTCTCCAGGTTTCTGCCTCTTCTTGCCTCAGAGGATTTCGCAGCAGATCACATGAGGAAACACATGGTAGGAAGAAAGCCGAGCGTGCCAAACATAACTCGCTCCACACGAAGCCAGGCCACTGCCAAGAGGCGCTGCTGCTGCTGCGTTTCTGCCTTTAGTAACTTTTTATTGCACAAGTAAAACGTGATTGTTGTAGAACGATGAGATTTAATACTAAGCTTAAGAGAAAATTAAAGTTGCTTGTGCCCTTACTATTCAGATATAGGCAAATGAGATATATATACTTTATTAACAAAAATAGAAGGTAGCAATACTGTTTTATAATCTGCTTTTCTCAGCTACCGACACCTTTTCTGTTCATTGCAGTCTCTCCTCAGCACTGTTTTCAATTGCTGTATTTGTCCTATTGCCGGGTCGTGCATCCTTTTTTGGGGGGAGCCAATTCTCTACTCTTCTGTAATTATCATCTTACTTTTTCTCCATTCTAAATGACACTGCAATGAACATACTTCCAGGAAAATCTCTTCCTGTGCCTTAATTATATTCCCAGTAAAATATTAAAGGGTATGGACCATATTTGAATACTGATTTTAAACAAACTGTTACCAAAGGAAAACAAAATTATCCTACGTGACAACGGGGAAATTTGAATACTAACTGGATATTTAATGATATTTAGGAATTATTAGCTCTGATGATATTTTATGGTTATTGTTTTAAAAGAATATCCTTCAGATTATATTACATATCATAATATTTATGGATGAAGAGCATGGTATCTGTGATTTGCTTCAAAATAATCGGGGGGGGGGGCGCGGGGGGGAGAATGGAGGGAACAAAATTGGCAGGAGTGGGTAACCATGGAAGCTGGTATTTTAAGGTTCAAAAAGGTATCCTGTCCACCTTGTGCATGCTCAGAAGTTTCCATATTAAATATTTTAGCCAAGTTATTATGACAATAATAACAAAAGCATTTATTAAGCACCAAGACACAGTGCAAAGCACGCGATTCTCATAACTCTGGGAGAGGGGAGCCATCAACCCTACTTTCAAAAGGCTGATGGTGGGAAATGAGACTCAGTCCATAAGAAATAAAATCAGAGCACCAACTGCTCTGGTTGGGCATCGTCCTGCAAACTGAAAGGTCACCAGTTCGGTTCCCAGTCAGGGAGCATTCCTGGGTTGCAGGCCAGGTCCCTGGTCGGGGGCATATGAGAGGCCTCCGATGGATATTGCTCTCACACAGCAATGTTTCTCTCCCTCTCTTTCTCCCCCTCTTCCCCCCTTCTCTAAAAATAAATAAATAAAACATTTTCTTAAAGAAGAAGTAAAACTAGATTTAAATTCAGGTGAGAGCACAACAGCTGGTTCTTCATGGTAGAAGAGCACAGAGCAAACATAGAGCCTGACATAATAGAGATGAGGCTGTCAGGGGAAAAAATCCACATGCTTACTATTGCTCATGCGCTTATAGACTCAGAATGTGTGCATGTGTTTCCCCGTGTTGAACTAAGTGTGGGGATCTCAGGACCAATGAACGCATACCCGTCAGACTGCCCAGAAAAACCACCTTGTTCATGTATGCGTGTCAACAGTGACAGGAGTGGGCAATGATTGTCTATAAGACCTGTATGAATTTCACGATGTTTATTTTTTTGAAATTATGTTTAGACCACCTACAGCCCTCAGCAGTCACCTATTTTGAACTTACTAAAGAGCATTAAAGTAATTCTAAAAACTAGACATGTTTTTGAGTATTCACTCAATTAAAGAGTATGATACATTTGTTAGTGCTTTCAAATGGAACTAGTTAACAGTTTTGCGGCGCGGAAAGATTCTGAAGTCTATTTAAGGTCTCTGGTAAACTTTAGAAGAGACACTAGTGAAATGTTGGAAGGACAAAAGAAACATCAAGGGGAGAAGATGAAGAACAATGAAGAAAGAATCACAGGTGGAAAAGAAAGTGGAAGGGCTGTTGTGATAGAACCCCGGTACCAGGACAGTCACTAAGTTAAACCCGAAGTGGGACAGCATCACAAGAGGAACTGAATACGAGCGGGCACCGTGTGGCAGGGTGCGGGGGCTGAGACACACGCACTGAATACACCAACGCTGCCGTGTTGGAAAGGCTCCTCCCTCCCCCACAGTATTTGCTGCACTTACTGTATGCAGAGAGTTGCATATAGAAGAACCTATGGAGGAGACAGGAAAATACAACACAAAGATGGCTTTTATATCCATGGTGCCGACGTTAAATTAGTGACGCAATCTACCTGGAAACCAGCTACCCTGTCTTCTAATACACATCCAGACTTGTGATTTGGTCTCAGGACAAACCGAGCTCATTCATTCAACAAAGTTTATTTGGCGCGCCTGTGTATCAGGCCCTGTGTCAGACAGTGAGCACACTGTAGTGGGAGGAGAAGACCTGTGCTCTTCTGGGGCTTATCCTCTGGCAAGGAGAAGAAAGACAAATAAGTAAACTTTATTAGGTGATGATAAGTGCTAAAGAGAAAGATAAGTCAGTAAAGAGGGATAGGGAATGTTGTAGGGGAGTGGGAGGTTACGATTTTAAATAGAGCCCATCAGAGAAGGCCGCCTTGAAAAGGTGACTTTGGGATTGAAACACACACACACACACACACACACACACACACACACACACACACACACGACTGGCCCTGGGCGGTGTGGCTCAGTTGGTTGGAGCATCGTCCTGTAAATCGAAAGGTCAAGGATTTGATTCCTGATCAAAGCACATACCTGGGTTGCAGGTTCGGTCCCTGGTTAGGGCATGTACAAAAGGCAACCAATCTTTCTCTCCCCCCTCCGTCCCCACCTTCCTTCCTTCCCCTCTCTTTAAAATCAGTAAGTATGTCCTTGGGTGAGGATTAAAAAAAAAAATCCAACCTGACTGCAGGGAACGAGGGCGCCATGCAGAACTATGCGGGGGAAGAGTGTTACAGGCAGCAGGTACAGAGGCCCTGATGTAGGAGCAGGTCAGATCGCTCCAGAAACAGCAAGAGGACAGTGTGGCTGGAGCAGCATGTGCAAGGGAAGCATGGTAGGAGCTGAG